TAGGTATGTAAGTCTAGGCATGTGGCTGAACCTTACTAAGCTTCAGTTTTGTAAATAGGGATAATAATAGCTGCCCTTCTCCCCCTACTCTAATTAGGTAATGCACACACAAATCTTTTGAAAAGTGTAAGTGTCTCAGATATTGTGTGTATTAATTCAAATCAAGATCTAGAATCAGTGGGTTTTCCAAGAAGTTCAACAAGAAAAGGCACTGGTATTAAAACAAAATATTTCAAGGAGGAAAAAAGCACTGTATTAAATCTTAGAACCAGCTCTGTCTGGCAGGTGCTGGTTTCTGTGTACACAGATGTGTATTACATATGTCATACCTTCTATCTCCCTAAACAGAAGAGATTTGTTCCAAAGCAGTTACATCTGGCAACGAGCCATCATTCTGGCCCCAGCATGTATGATACTCTGCTTGCTATTCTGCTAGTGATCAAACATGTCACTCACAGGGGAGGTGGCACATAATAACTAAGACATAGAAACCACTTAAAGCCTCAGGGTCCCTGATGCTTATATCCTATAGCCTCCCCCAGGCCCCAAGTGCCTTTTCCCATGCATATACACATATACCATCCAAACAGAAAGAGGGTCTAGAAATCCCAACTCCACTGGGTTCCAAATGGAGAGGCTCAGTAATATATCCACTGCCACATTCTAACTAATTTTAAGTGTTCAATAAACATTTGCTCAATTACAAAATGAACAACAGGCCAGGCGCGGTGGCTCATGCCTGTAATCCTAGCACTTTGGGAGGCCGAGGTGGGTGGATCCCAAGGTCAGGAGATCGAGACCATCCTGGCTAACACGGTGAAACCCTGTCTCTACTAAAATTACCAAAAATTAGCCGGGCATGGTAGTGGGCGCCTGTACTCCCAGCTACTCGGGAGGCTGAGGCAGGAGAATGGTGTGAACCTGGGAGGCGGAGGTTGCAGTGAGCTGAGACTGTGCCACTGCACTCCAGCCTGGGCCACAGAGCAAGACTCCATCTCCAAAAAAAAAAAAAAAAAAAAATGAACAACAGAAAAATAAGAAAGCCAATTATGTGTGTTTCAGAGAGCGAGCTGGGGAGCAGGACGGAATGGCTAAGACGTAACCAGTGTGGTCAGTGCAACCCATGAGAACCCCAACAGTCAGGGTCTGAACAAGATACCAGGCCTGCCATTCTGACAAGAGTCAGCTCCCATTGGAAGGACTTCTCACTAAGGCTCAAGGCAGGCTGAGCAGCTGACAGCCTTCTACACAGGGCCTCTTCAGAGCCAGCATTCCTTGTCAGGCAGAGTACAGGCTCACCCAGCAACTGAGAAACCAATCCAGTGTGCACGGGAGGCCTCAGGCACCCAGCTGCTTACACATAAATCTGGACTTGGTGGTCTGGAGGTGTGGACAGAGGTTTGGAGTTAGAGCTATTCAAGAGAGGCAGCAAGAGCTATAGCAGTGTACAGTCCCCTCCAACGAGGAATCCCGGCCATTACAGGAGACCAGTTGTTCCCGGAGCTCCAGGGTCAAGGCTGAGAAGAATCCTCCCATTGGTGGGTCCTCAGCAGTAACTCTCCTCCGTGTGCTTGGATAGCAGGCAGTCTTCCAGCCTTGCTGGCAAGACTTGCCAGGGCACCCTCAGGGAAGCTCCACAGTGGGACTGAAAGAAACCGTGTGAGAGTGGCATTCATTAGCTCACGCACCAGCAAACATGCAAACCTGTATTCAGGGTGTGCTCTGTCAACCTCAAGGCCAAACTTTCTGACACTCCATAGGACTATTTTACCTGTATTCCTTTCAGAATAAAGGGACAAGGTCCTGAGTGCTGCCTTCTCTCCCTAACCTGAGAAGCCACAAATGCACTGTGAGAAACACCATGCTGCCGCACTCTCTGGACCTGGAGTTGAGTACATCACAGTTCTCGCATTTACATATTTAGCACAACATCCACTCACAACACATACATACACACATACACACACAATCACAGACACACAAGTGTGGGAGAACTATCAAAGCATCCTCCTTGCCTTGATCTAGAAATACAAGAGAGACACTGTATTGGCAGGAAGGGGGCAAGACTGAGAGTTGGGAGACCTGGTTTCTAGTCTCAGTTACGTGAACAAACCACTGAACCTCTCTGAATCTCAGGCTCCTTATCAGTGAACATGTGAACAGCATCCATGTCAGGAGGGAGGATGCTGAACATGTTACATATGATGCTATGACTTCCTAATGTTCATTTATTACTTGGGCTCCTATTGTTTTTGAGGGAAATGGAAAGGACAGCTTGTTTTCTAAAATTAGTAGTGAGAGGGTGAGTCATAGAGTTCTCAGGTATATGAATTCCAAAGTGGGAAAGAAGAATAAATATCTTAGCCTTTATCAGAAGAATAGCCATCCTGACTTGGCACAGTGACTCATGCCTGCAAACCCAGCATTTCAGGAGGTCGAGGCAGGTAGATCACTTGAGCCCAGGAGATAGAGACCAGCCTGGGCAACATGGTGAAACCTCATCTCTACAAAAAATACAAAAATTAGCCAGGCATGGTGGCGCATTCCTGTAATCCAAGCTACTCAGGAGGCTGAGGTAGGAGGATCATCTGAGCCCAGGGAGGTCGAGGCTGCAATGAGCTGTGATCCTGCCACTATACTCCAGCCTGGGTGACAGAGCAAGACCCTGTCTCAATAAAAAAGAATAGCCTTCCTTAGCCATCTTTTCTGGGTGTGTCCAATCTACATGGTTGTCTGGAGGATCAATGAAGTTAATATATGTGGAAACACTTTGAAATGTATACATTTAAATACATAAAGATTTACAATTGTTATAATAGTAGAAAATCATACGAGCCTACACCAGACCAAGTCCCTTAATTAGATGGCACGAGTCCTGTGATGATGGTGCTTGCGGTCATGTTCAGCTCCTAAACAGGAGACAGAGCAGCTGGGATGCAGCCCAGCCTCGGGGGTGGCAAACAGTTCACCACAGGGGACCCCGGAGCATGGGCACAGCTGCCTGATAATTGATACCCAGACAGAGGCGAGGTGATTCATCTGAGCACAAGGAGCCTCGGTGCTCAAGAGCGCAGGCTTTGGAGTAGACCGACCTGCTTCAACTCCCTCTGCCAGCGCTGGGGGCCTTGGGAGAGAAACTTCATCTCCCTGAGCCCCGGTTCCTCATCTGTACACAGGGATAACAACCCATGCCTAGCGGGGTTGATGATAAACATCATTATGTAAGTCCCAGGGTGCAGGCTGGGCCCAAGCTAAGTGCTAGGTGTACCACAGCACTATTATTATCTAGTACCCTGGTTAGAGCAAGGGGTGGGGACAGGCATGGTGTGGGGAGACAGTCCCCTTCATCCTCAGCAGGTGTTTCGGCTTAGAAGGCACGTGGCTGGTTCCCCAGGATGAGCCCACTGCCTCATACCAGGAGATGGGCCTTCCTCACATCTGAAATCATGGATTGCAGCATGGGACAAGGGGATAGTGAAGCATGACAACCCTTTGTCTCACTTAGCTCCACATACATGAGCATTTCTGTTTCTCAAAAAGGCAGAGGATTGGGGTCGGGCACAGTGACTCAAACCCGTAATGCCAGCACTTTTGGAGGTCAAGGTGGGCAGATCACTTGAGGTCAAGAGTTTGAGACCAACTTGGCCAACATGGCGAAAACCTGTCTCGACTAAAAATACAAAAATTATCCAGGCATAGTAGCAGGCACCTGTAATCCCAGCTACTCGGGAGGATGAGGAAGGAGAATTGCTTGGACCCAGGAGGCAGAGGCTGTAGTAAGCCAAGATCACTCCACTTCACTCCAGCCTGGGCGATAGAGCTAGACTTTGTCTCAAAAAAAAAAAAAAAAAAAAAAGTGTGTGGGAGAATTAGGCCCACACTCACCTGAGTTCTAGAAAACCTAAGAAAGGAGAATATGCTTTGTCCTTCTCTTTGTCTCCCACCCCATTCCCAACCCTGACATGGTGGCCAAAGGAAGTTAGGAGCCCTTAGGCACCTTCTCACAGCTCTAATTATTACAGAGAAGATGTCAGTCAAAGATGGCAGGGGCCAGGCACAGTGGTTTATGCCTGTAATCCCAGCACTCTGGGAGGCCGAGGCAGGCGGATCACTTGAGCCAAGGAGTTCAAGACCAGACTGGGCAACGTGGTGAAGCCCTGTTTCTGCAAAAAATGCACAAATTAGCTCGGTGTGGTGGCATGTGCCTGTGGTCCCAGCTATTCAGGAGGCAAAGGTGGAAGGATCACCCAAGCCTGGGAAGGTCAAGGCTGCAGTGAGCCAGGATCATGACACTGCACTCCAGCCTAGGTAACAGAGTAAGACCCTGTCTCAAAGAAAAAAAAAAAAGATACTTCAAAGATGGCAGGCAGGGGCACCAACCCAGGGACTTAGTTACCGAGACAATCTCATGCCAGTAGGGTCATGTGCAATGAACCCCTACAGGTTGAGGCAGGACAAAATGCAGAAGAGACATTAACACTTCCAACATCATATCTACAGTATTTCACTTGCTTCTTTATCTCCTCGCAGAAGGTCAGCTTCTTTCCTTCTTTCTTTCTTTTTTTTCTTTTTTCTTTTTTTTTTTTTTTTTTTT